CTTTAAAAGCCATTTTGTTACTTTTAGAGAATCTCTTAGGATTGTGTATATCTATAATCTTTTCCTTTTCTTTGGACCATTTTATGGGTTGTGTTGTATTATTTACTTATTTTCATATGTTTTTATTCTGTCTCTACAACTTGACTGTAAGACAAGACCAGGGCTGCCCATAGCTCCATAGGGATCTCTGAATCCCTAGAATATTACCCTTTCATCACTGTGAATTCTTCATAAATACTTTGGGAATGAGTAAATAGATACACCGCATTTTATTCTGCTTTATACTTTCTCATTTATATTTTCTCATACTGTTACTGTGCCCTCCATACTCTCCGCACCTCCTTACTTCCCTCTGCCCTTCTAATAGTGGTAAATTTAAGATTATTAGCAACCTAAGAATTTCAGGAAGAATTTTAAGTTGCTGATTTTGTAGCATTGAATAAACCGAGCTCAGCAGTACAGAGCCAGGAGCAATCTGCACATCCTTTGGAGAAGACCCCCTTCTAATCACCTCAAATTATAAACATCATTGGCTATGCTGCCTCCTGAGGGTATGGCAAAACTTAATCTCATTTCTGTTAATAGTGAATGGCCCTCATTCTCCTATAATTAGTCACTGTGGAGTTTTAGAAAGGTCATTTGGTTGAAATATGAGGCTGCAATTTGTTTAAAGGGGAAAAAAGGCAAAGAAAATTATCTTTCCACAATTCATTAACTCAGGTCACAGCTACCTCGAGCTGTCTGAGTTTCGGAGTGTGTGTTGCAGACAATCTCACACATCCGCAAGCAGAATGTGTGCGTGGCCCTGAGAAAGGCACGAAGTCACTAAATTAACATGCAGGTAAACTGCGTGCAGGTTGTGTCTCTTAGTTACCAAAACACTTGATTAAAAAAGAAGCAGTTGTTTCAGTCCATACAAATGTGGCTCAGGCCCACCATCTGCATACACAGCTGGACTGTGGGGAAAAGTCCCTTGCAGCACCCAGAATGTACGCAGCACTCTTTTTCTTGCTATTCATGTTCCTTCTTAGAGGCTATTAGGATCAAATAAATAAATGTATCGCTTTCTACTTTTATTTAGAAAAGAGCAAGTTATACACATTCCTCTTTTGGCTTATTAATAAAAAAGAAACATAAGAAAGAAGAACAGTTATACATTTTAAGAACAAAGAGTTCACTTCATTGATTATTTGGTTATACACTTGTACAATATTATTCTCACGTATTTTTATAAGATTATAAAATTCTATTCAACTCATGACTATGTTGAATATTTCATATAAAATGAAGGTTGAAACTCTACATGAATTGATTTTTAGAATGTATTGTAGGAAGTTAAGTAGCATGTTTTTATTTCCATCTGGTTAACACCATTTTCTTTCCGAATATAAAAAAGTAATAAGATTTTTAAAGGGCATACGCATTTGTTTTGATTTTCATTTATTTTGCTTTCAATATTCAAACTAATGAACTGAAGGTTTTTTTTTTTTTTTTTTTTTTTTTTTGGTACCAGGGATCGAACTTGGGCCCTTGTGCTTGTGAAGCAGGTGCCGGAACCACTGAGCTAAATCCCCAGCCCCAAACTGAAGGTTTTTAACATGTTATTTATTTGGAAAGTATTTAGAAGGTGTACATGTATCATTAACAAACAAAAATTTTACATTTATTTTACAATATTTACCTTTAGTACGTATAACATGGCATGTTACACATGGAATTAAACATGGACTTTACAAATAAATTAGAGTAGTCTGAAACAATTAATAACATTAGTTACATTGTGAAATAAAAAGATTTGTACCAATTATGGTTACTAAATGGTATAAATATCCAGTCACTGGCAACTAGTGCCATAATAATGAAAGAAAAGTTACTAGACATTACCTACACCCTAAAGAGAAAGGCAATAAAGGAAAAGGTTAATACACAATTAAGTGACTCTACTGATAATGAGAATGGGGAAAAATACTAAAAACTATATTACAAAATGTTGAAAAATAAATGACAAAATCAGGAGTCAGAAGAACTAGAACAAAACATTTACCTCCATTTTTGGCCTTCCATGCTCATATTTTTCTATTTAAGGATTACACTTTTACCTGAATCTTCTAAAAGGAAATATTGGAGTAAGATATTATGTTATGGAAACCATCAGGGAATGTTCATTCTCATAAGGTAAAGGATAATATCCTGGGACATCAGGGGCTGGGTTTGGTGGAAAACAAAGTGAGTCATAGTTGCTACCTGTCCTACAGTGGAATAACGTGAAATGAGGTGAAGGTGGAAATGAAGTTGGCCCTGCAGTCAAGTATGTGTGCAGAAGTATTACTGTGGTGTCATTGAACACACGTGTGGATTTTGATATAAAACCCCAGTGGCTTAGAAGAATAAGTACAGTAGGGATCAGAAGGTCAAAATACATGAAATGTGATGAATAAGTTAGGAAAAGAGGCCATGGATGTATTTGAATTTTCTGTGATGCTCAAAATATTCTGTTTTTACATTATTTAACTACATTAGTCATTGTGTGTACCAAAAGCTTGAAATAAAGCTAATGTGACTAAGAAATGGATTTTACATTTTATTTAACTTCAAATAACTTTACTTGAAATTTACATAGTCATATTTGACTAGTGGCCACCCTATTGAAAAGAACAATTGTAGGACACGTTAAAAATGTCAACGTTTTCGTCAAGACAGAAAATAAAATCAAATAAAGGCCAAAGATGTTGAACTCTGATAAAATTTACTATTGAGTTTGTTAACTAAAAGGTCATTCAGTATGGCGTGGTGATGTGCACCAATCTATGCACTGACAATTCTGTTCAGATGATCTCTGACTCAAACTATAAAAGTCATAGTCATTCATAGAGTAGTAAGCCATTGTGTGTAAATTCCACATTCTTCATTCATCTGTTGGTGGATAGATTTAGTTATTATGAATTGTGCTGCTATAATGACGGGTATGCATGTATCGCTGTAATATAATGTATGTAATTCTTTTGACAAGAAATCTAGAATAGAAATAGCTAGGTCAAGTGCAATTTCTAGTTCTAGTTTTTTTTGGAGGAATCTTCCTATTGATTTCCATACTGGTTGTACTAGTGTACAGTCCTGCCAGCAATACAGAAGTCTACCTTTTTCCATACCACCTTGCTAGCATATGTTAGTAGTTGATTTTTTGATGATGGTCACTCTTTTGGGCATAAAATATAATCTTAGTGTTGTTTTAATTTGCATTTCTCTATTGGCCAGTGATGTTGATCATTTCTGCCCACCTTATTTTTAAAGCATTTGTCTGAAGACTCTACTCTTGGTCCATTTAGAGCATATACTATGATGACATTCATCATTGGGAATTTGTACCTTTACATGATCTATCTTGGTTCTTGAAATTTTTCCCTATTCCCCTGCCCTCCCTTCCACCTCTCCCCACTCCCTATTTACAAAGACTTTGTTTCCATTTTTTCTTTTTCTCATATTTATTCCTACCTTTTAAAGGCATCTTTCTCCATCCTCACTCTTTCCAGAAACTATTCTTGTCATAAGTATATTTTCACCCCCACACACATCCCATTGAAGTCCCACTTGCAGCCTAGTTTACTGTATCACAAGAAATTGTAGGTTACGGACAACTGCAGATTTTCTCAGCTATGTCTCCTCTTCTTTCAAAAGTAATTGTGTTTCCTCTAGAGCCAGATCTGTAATTTATTGGCATCCTGTGCATACTAAATCTTGTTGATTTAAATAAGTATTTGGTGGCTCCATCAAATTATCTGGACTTTTATCCTTGGACTCCTCAAAAACAGTAGCTCTCATTTGTACTTTACTTAATAAATGCTCATTGCACATATTGCAGATCATTTACTCATTCAGAATTAGCTAACAAGTCAACTCTCTTGTCTTCTACTCTGTAAGCATACTCTGTAACAAGTATTCACTGAATGATTCTAAGTTTCCTGGTACCATGTGCAGAAAGTAGATAGTAGTGAGTGAAACCAAGTATATGTTTTCAAACAGCTTACATTCTAGTGAATGGGGCAGGTGATTAGCACATGGAACTGAGAAAAGAATGCACTTCAGATTATCCAACTCTTGGAGAGGTAATTTCTGTGGGCAAGAAATGTCTGAGCTAAAATTTGAATAGATTTTAAAACAAAGAAAAAGTAGCAATTTAGTATCCTGAGAAAGACTGCTGTAGGCAGAGGTAGTAAGTGGGACTGAAGTGTGGATTGACGGAGAGAGATCTGACTTGACCTGACCTTCATTCTTATGCAAAAGGATGTTTTCCTTTTTAATTTTCATGTGCTTCAGGCTTTTCTGTCATAGAACTTGGACCCAAGACTGACAATTTTGCTGTTCTCATCTGCAATATTTACTCCCTCATTCCTTTCCTCTTCTATATGCATCTCCAGCCACTGATAAATGCTTCTTTATTTCTGTATCGGAAGCTTGAGCACTTCACAACTGTGTGTTTTGGTGTTATGCAAATTTATAGGGTCTCAGCCCAGTTGGACTTCAACATCACTGATCAATCACTGCACTTGACTCAGGCATTGGACTCAATCCTCTCACTTTACCTAAACTGATCTTTTTTTTTTTTTTCTGGGTTTATATAACATTTTTTTTTCAGCTTTAATTGAGTTTATTGGTACATTTTAGGGATACAGTACAGTTACATTCATTGTTGGGATCATGTTACCTAAACTGATCTTTTTTTTTTTTTTCTGGGTTTATATAACATTTTTTTTTCAGCTTTAATTGAGTTTATTGGTACATTTTAGGGATACAGTACAGTTACATTCATTGTTGGGATCATGTTACCTAAACTGATCTTGCTGTAGTTACTCTCTGCACAGTGATTATTGCATAATAAATGTCACCCAAAATTCTGTGGCTTCAAATTACAATCAATTGCAATTTTCCTTAGCCCCCAGGTTAGAGATCTAGAATGGAGATAGATGAATAGTTCTTCTCCTTGGCAGTTATACCTGGGCTCAGTTACAACACATTTAGAAGATCTTCTATCACTTGGTTGATCTCGGATGACCTGGGCTGGGCGATTCATCTCTAGTCAATCTGCTTCCATCCTTCAGCAGGCTTTTAAAGGAAGTGAAATACTGCCAACAAAAACTTACCTTTCAGTCTGTGGACTACGCATTAGTTGGATTGTATTTTCTAACACATGTTACATAACTGAGCCCCAAATCAGAGTGGAGGAGATTACCTGGAAAAATTACCTGTTAAAACACACAGAAACAATGTGAGAACCAAGGTTATTAAGGCAATCAGTCTGTCTTTGTTCTTCTTTATTGTCTCATTTACCCATAACCCTCTATATGCAAAATCCACCCCCCAAGACATTTATGGGTATGGGTCCATCCTAATCATAGAGTCAGTATCAAATTCCAAACTCTTCTGATATACATCATGTCTACATGAAGCTTCTCAGATTTGCTTCCTTTTGATATGGAAAGCTAAGAACTAAGACAGAGATATTTTTCCTACCCACCTAAAACACAAAGGTGAAATATAGGGAAGATATGTATGATTGTGACCTCATTAACAAAAATGAAAGAACAAATCACATGGAATAATCATTTCTCCCTTCTTCATTTTTATTATTTGAAATTTTCAGTACTGGGGATGGAACTCACCACCTTGTGCTTGGGAGACAGACACAGCTCTACTGAGCTAAACATCCAGCTGTTCCTTCTGCTGGAGGTCAGTGACATATACATTGCCAGGTTCATGAATCCAATGGTGAACATTGTATCTTTATCAGCCAAGGCCCAATTGTCAGTGACTTCTGTGAAATACTTATCATCCTGGTCTCTGCAGAAAGTATTGGAAAATACACCTTTTGAGAATTTTCATATCCTATTCTCTTTACTTATGAAGAACTGAAACCTCAAGCTTTAATATTTTACTAGGCCATCCTTTTAAGTTTTCGCTGCTTGACTTTTATCCTCCATATATCTCTTAACAATATGGTGGGCTTTCTATGGATCAAACTTTTGTGGTTTTATTGAAGTGTAACAAAACACAACATATTTGGATTTGTTTCTTTTGTAACCCTCTGCTTCCCTCAAAATTATTAATATCTTATTGACCTAACAGCATCTTCTCTGAGACTGAAATCAAGGTAGAAATTGATTGCACAGTTAAAGGGCAAAGGACTTGGATATAGATTGGTTATAATTAAGTCACATCCTTACTGTACTTCCTGGTATCTTTCCTCAATTCTTTCCCTAGAATACCTACCAAAACCTCAAGGCCTAACTCAAATAAGCCTTGTCCAGCCAATACGCCTGTGTATTATGAGGTGTGCCATTCAGTAGTCTTCTAGCGCCCTTGCTGTTGTGGAGTTCACCACAAGATCTTGGGCTTCACTATGCATTTACATGGCCCTCTAAATTGCAAGGCATCCCAAACACAAGAGTCCTGATTTAATTCTCTTTGTATTTCCTAAATTACCTAACTGAATATATAGGTCACAACTGGGTCCTAAGATGTGTCTTTAATTAATTAAATATTTTAAATGATTTAACAAATCTTAAATTTTCAAGCACGACTTTCTCAAATCTTGTCTACTACTTCAGTATTCCTTTTGTCACACTTAATTCAATCATACAGTTTAGTGATTCTTTACATGGAATATTGAGATTGTTACTATTCTAAATGTGAAGCTATGCAATTGTGACTTTTCCTCAAAAATTGGAATATCAGTATCTTGATACAAAGCACCAAATCTTATATCCCTCTCATTATGGTTTTGAGCATAGGATGGATAGAGTAAAAGAAGATAAAAATTATGTGAGTATTAAATTACTATAACATAGTATTGCCTCCAATATATCTCTTCATGACAATATAAATATTGCCATGGTCATTAGAATTGAAGGACCTTGAGTAGAAAATGAGATGTATTGCCTTTCTTGGTATAGGTTGTTAGACTGTCTTTTAAATTTCTAAACTGAACATAACATAATCTGGTCCTATTTCTATTACTATGGTAACAAAGTGAAATACCTTACATAACAATTATTTTATCATGGTTTTGAACATAAATTTCATCAAGCTGATTAAAATCTACCAAATGCGATGGCTAAACACGGATACCCAAATGTAGACTGTCAACCTGATGATTAATCTAATTGAAAGCAATATAATACTGGCCTATGTAGAGGGCAGAAGAGGTTGACTGGAGATTTCTGAACTTTCTGAAACCGAACAAGACCATTTTCAGATATTTGTATAGACTGAGTGCCCACCAGAGTCAAGAATTGTGAATTCCATTAAGAAAATGCCAAAGTGAATTATAACTTAAGCAAGCAATCCACAAAACTCAGGTCACAAAAGTAATCTCAAGATTAAAATATAGAAACCTGAACTAATGGTGTGTTCTTTCAAGACAGTGAAAGAAACAAAAATAATACTTATCCATGGGGGAAAAAAGAGTCTAATTCAAATAATTACTATTTCCCTGATACAAAACTAAGACTGCATCTATCGAATGCTGCTCACAAGAAAGATCGGAGAAGAACAGAATGATACAGCTATAATGCCCAATGGACAAAAAAATATTGCATGCATATTTTAAAAGATGAATCAGAATAATAACTTAAATGTGCACTACAAAATTATCCTTCTTTGAAGGGTGTAGATAGGAATGGAAAGATTAAACCAAGGTTGGAAAATTATCTACCCATGTCTTGATGTCTCAAGAATTTTAACTTTATCTCTGGATCATTTCAAATGTTAGAATTAATGAGTCCTTTTAAACTCTCTGAAAGAAAGGTCTAAGCAATCATACTGGGCTAAGAAATAGAAGATTAGGAAATTGCAGATACAAATACAGGCAGATGACTGAAATAAAAGTGGAGAAAAGAAGAAAGCCACCTTCTTGGAACAATAGTACAAAACTATGTAGTCTGCCTTCCTCCCTCACTGGATGCAATTTCTGCATAGTCTGGGAACATCATCATCCACCTTTCACAGATGAGCCATGGAGATTTGCAGGGGTTTGACGTAACTCAGAAAGTCACAGACGAAGAAGGGGTGGAACCTAGGATCAAATCTAAGAATTTCCTTCCTTCCTTCCTTCATTCCTTCCTTCCTTCCTTCCTTCCTTCCTTTCTTTCTTTCTTTCTTTCTTTCTTTCTTTCTCTCCACTGGGAATCAAACTCAGGACCTTGCATTTGTGAACCACAGAGCTAAATCCCTGGCAAATCCAGGAATTTCTAAATGTAAAGTTCTGGCTATTTTTTATTTTTTTAGTGCTCCTTTTTATGGTGATTTTGTGTTTGAGAGTATTGTATTCCACAGGGTTTTGGACTCTTCCCTCAGAGAAGTTTGGCCTTAATGTGTATAAGGTGTCAGGATTTCAAGGAAAACACATCTTAGAAAATAGGGTGTATTAGTCTGTGTTCAGTTGCTATGACAAAACCACCAAGAGTGGGTAATTTATAAAGAATTAATGCCGGGGATTTAGCTCAGTGGTTCGGTGGCCTACCTTGCAAGCGCAAGGACCCAAGTTCAGTCCCCGGTACCAAAAAAAAAAAACAAAAAAAAACCCAAAAAACAAAAAACAAAACAAAACAAAACAAACAAACAAAAGAATTAAGTGGATTTAGTTCATGGCTCTGCACACGGAGAAGTACAAAAAATGGTTGTTTGTTGAGGACCTTCTTGTATCGTCGCAACTTGGTGGAAGCCACCACGTGTCCAGTTGGAGCATGTAAGCAAGCTCAAGTCCCTCTTCCTCTTCATGTACAGCTAGCTATGGATGTCACTGCGGGGCCCCTGACTTATGAATACATCTAACCCTAATTATGTCTAAAGGATCCCAACTCTAAATACGATCAACATGTTAATTTGGAGGATTAATTTCCAGTGCACTGAACTGCGGAGAAACATATTTACAACTGAAGGAAATGTAGTTTATAGCAATTCAATGATCTACCTCACTTTTAAGTGTGCACTTCTATGATTCATAGGATATAATAAAGTTATCTCATTGCCTACCAAATATTTTGGTACATGGATCCTTAGTGTTTCAACTTTATGGGCTTTATTTGTGGACAAAACCTTAATAATGTACCTTTAAGAGAATCAAATATTTATATGGAATGGTGCTTTAAACAATTTTCAGTTATCTTTCATTTACCTTTGTGTGTCTCTCAACTCAAGAGATAACTAAAATAAAATGTAGCACAATATACAGGCATTTTAAACTTTTTTCTTTTTTTTTTTTTTGTTTTTGGAAACAGCTTGAGCTTGAACTCACTATGAAATGCAGGCTGTCCTCAAACTCATGGCGATTCTCCTGCCTCTGGCTTTCTAGTGCTGGGAATTACAGGAGTGCTCCAGTGCATGTGGCTAGTAAATATATTTCCTAAAGTTATAATAGGGTGAGCGAAAACAAAGGAAACTGTGCATAAATGCTTTACATCTCCTTAGCTTTCAGATTCCCATTATGCCAAAACCCATTGTTAAAATTATATTATATCCTTCTGAATTAAATCTATTGATGAATATATACATATATGCACACATATACACTTCTTATATACACACACACACATATATATACATCTATATGCTTACATACATATACATATGTATATAATCTTTAGGAAAGGTGCATTGTTGTGTGTGCATCCATGTGTCTCTATATGAAAAAGTGTGAGTAAAACTTTTGAGAAAGAATAAAGATCTACTTATGTGTAAAGAGATAAAAATATTACTTAAGAAGAATAGAATGAATGCATAATTGCATGACATATTTCTGTGTTAGACTGATTTCATTCTGAGAAAGCACTTCTTTGATGAAATGAGAAAGTCCTTGTCTTCTAGATTTAGCCTGAAAAGAACGTGACAGAGAGGCCTCTAAGTTGTCCTATCTAGAAATGTCACTGGAAGTTTGAGGTCAAAGAGTGGGAAGTAGATACAGTTAGAGAAGATTATTGAGGCCGAAAAGTAAGGAACAAAGTTGACAAATGCTTCTGTATAAAAAAATCTTTCCTAACTATGACCACTTTGAACAATGATATTTACTGTTCAGTTTTCACTCAGCTGTCATTTCCATAAAGATTAGTTGTACTCTTTATAATCTCACAATTTCAGAAACAAACAGAGCCCTACCCACGATGTGGTCAAGAGGTGTTTATATGAGGCCATGGTGGTGATAAACAGAAATTCATAAGAGCAGGGTACCAAAACAAGAATGTGCTTGGTATAAGAGACTGACTTACCATTCACTGAACTTTAATTACTGTATCTCTCTAACCTTAACCCTTTCCCTGACTTGGAATGAGCCAAACAGCATGTATGTCGGAATCAGAAAAGAAAAAACAACATTCTAGAATATCAAAATTACACTTAATAGAGATTGCATCCTACTGATCAATGAAAAAGATAAAATATTTGAATTATAAATATCAAGAAAGATAAGTCAGAGATTGCAGCAGATCCCACAGATGTTAGAAAGATAAGAATATTATATAAATGATCCTAAAGAAATTTGACAATTTAGAATTTTAAAAGATCTTGATATTATTGTAGCAAGAGAATAACATGGGTTGTACTTTTATCTACTCATTCTGAAACAATTAGAAAATCAAACAAAATGTGAAACAACTTTTTTTCAGTTATGAGCCAACACTTGGTACAGTACTATGATTCTAGATATGACAACTAAACCATATCTGCATAGCAAAAGTCTTGGTGTTTGGGATGAAATCACATTCAGAATCCAGCTTCAAAGGGAGGAACCAAAAAAAAAAGTCCCACAGAGAATGTTGAGATTTGGTGGCAGATCTTGTATCCTTCCTTATATAGTAGATTTTCAAGCCAGGTGCTCTAACTGGCAAATCTACTTCAGTTCTTTCTTCCAAGAAAAAATTCAGTTCTCAGAAATTTGACTCTCAAAGTTCTAGGTATAGCTGGCTACTCAAGCATTCTATATAAGTTTATCTATGAGAACTTTTTGTTCTCACCCCATGTTATCCTAGAATTTACAGAAAATATAGATATTCCTTATGTTTCTTGGTCCTGCCACAGTTCTCCAGTTAGTCTAGACAGTTATGAGACTATTCAGCTTTACTCCATATTAAACATTTCATTTATTTTTATTATTTTAATTTAAGTCATATACTCACCTGCCTTGCAGGATGAATGAGGATGAGCTAAGTAGCATATGGGAAAGAGCTGAAATTAAACAGCACACTGCGAAGTGCTTTGAACTATTAGTTTTGAGCTATGAGTGGAAATTATTATTATTAATGGACCATATTCTGTCAAATGTTTTAATGTAATGTGTCTGTTAATATCAGGATATAGTACATTGCCACTGAAGATGCAGCAACTACACGCTTTGTGATATTTTTATAAAAAACATGCATCTTATGGTTCTATCGCTGAACTTTGTATAAAAGTATACATCTTTTCCCTGATTTACATCTTAAAATTTGATCTTTAACAAACATGGAATTCTGTTCCAATGGTAGTAGAAACAAAGACTGAAGACATTTTTCTCTCCAAGATTGTATGCATTCTCTTTTTTACTCAAATTAACTTTCTGCCACTGGTTTCCGTGTGTGTGTGTATTTGTGGGTGTGTGCATGTGTGTGTGTCTGTGTGTGTGTGACACAGATCACACTACCTGATTCCAAAATGACAGGAGATTTTACAAAAGGTGTTCCAAGGAACAGTTTGGGTGGACCTGGAAGTACATGACAACTGAAGGACAAGTTTTCAATGCTTTCTAATAGCCCACAACCCTGCAGGAAGATGAATTCATGGGCAAAAGGCCCCACTAGTACCATACAGCTATGACCACTAGAGTACAGAAAAGCCAAGTGCCCGTTCACAAAAGACTTCACCTAGAGAGGGACACGCAGCTAGATTTTGAAGGAGAACAGAATGTGGGAAAACTCCCTGGTAGTCTTTAGAAATCACAAATGATTTTAAACCTGAAAAAAATGATACTTTTATGAATTTGGTAATTAGAGGTCCTTAAATGTCTATTTTATGTCATGCAGGTTTCATCTTGTGAATTTCTAAAGAGTTTTTAAATGAGGATAAAAATAATTCAACTTAAGATTTTTTGAAACAAATGGACAAGAGGAGTAGAAGAAAATGGATAACTGCCAAGGCTCCAAGGAATATTATTTTCTCAATGAAGAGAGCTACACGCTAAATGAAAACAAAGAGAGCTCACCTGCAATAATGCTGATGAACCAGGCAAAAGGAAGCAGTGATCACAAATGCATTGGGACAAACACTGTCTGCCCACCAAGGATTGAATCCAATATAACATTTGGTGACCAGTATGGATAATTATTTTTCTAGAATAAAAGCAACCTGCAAAACAATGTCTTGGACAGCCTATTTCACTTTGTTTCAGTTGTCTGAGTTTATCATATCCCTGTGCCTGCATTGCAACTTGTATTTAAAATGTCTAGCTATCAACCATGAATTCAGTGAACAATTTTCTTTTATCTTTGTGTTTTCATTTTATCTTCAGGGGTACATAGAACCCAAATAAATGCACAGCTAACCTGCCTATTACTAATTATTTAAATTTATCACTGTGATGTCATCTCCTTGGGAACTGATCACTGGGAATTGATCACAAAGACATTTGGGGGATTTTGTTGTAACTTGGAACAATCTCTTCATGGTTTTAAAAATTTAAATCTATCACATTGTGAAAGTTTCTCTAATATTTGAAATTGTTAATACATTATTGAAAGCAAAGATAATGGGTATTCTATGGAGGACATATTAATTGTGGGTAAAACTAGAAGCAGAGAGATAAACCAAAAAACTTTGGAAATGAAACTGAAAGCATGACCATTTCCAAATTTTGCTTTGTCCTATCATCTCATTGCAAAAGGAGAGAAACTTCATAAAATTCGCTGAGCTATATTTAATGTTCTGACACATCTTAACGAATGCTAGCCTTGACAAAACAATGTTTCACAGAAGTTATCAATGTATCTTAATAAGCAGCTTTAGAGCTGTTTGTGTCATCAGTTGTTATCATATTCTGACACCCCGAATCTGAACCCAGATATTATTCAGACTGACAGGAAAAAAAATCTCAGGACTTAGCTAGTATTCAAGGTAACAGAAAAAAGTCATTTATATCAACATGCCAAAAACATGTAATTTTAAATAGAGAATGCTACTCTAAGGACATTTTTTATTTTTAGATAATGTTAAAATTCAGCAACTGCAATTGTCTGTGGGAGAGTTAGAGGTGAGATATAGAGGATTTAAAGAAATAAAAGCCAGTGATACACATATACCCATGTTTATAGTACTACAATTCATAATAGCTAAATCTTAGTAGCAGTCTTATGTCCAACAACAGGTGAATGGGTTAAAAAAGTGGTATTTACAAACTACAGACTTCTATTCTGCCCTAAACAATGATACACTTGACTCATTTGTAGGAAAATGGATGCACCTTGAGACCATAATTTAAAGTGAAAGAAATCAGACACACAGATTTAAGTGCTGCATAGTTTCTCTAATAGGAGAAAACCATATTATAAGGAGCAAATTAAAGATCAATAATAGAAACAAGGGAGACAGATCTTTTTCAAATGGGACAAACAGCAAGAAATTGAGGGAGGTAGGAGTAGCAAAAGTGATAGAAGAAGGGATTGTGAAGTGTTATGTGCCACTTCCCCAAAGGAGATGAAAAGTTAACATTATGTACTGCAAAATGTACTGATAAAAATTTTTAAAATTGTAAAAAGCCTTTTGTTCAGTGGTTCCTTACAAACTGTGAACACTCAACTAGTACATACATTTTATTTTCCTCTGTGAATTCTAAGATATCTACAAAATCTCCCTCATTATGTTTTCCCTCCAGGAAATTACAAATATTATAAAGCACAAATTTTAACAAAAATGTTTTGAAACATAAAAAAATAGACTAATGGAAGAATAGCAATGGAATTTATTTAATATAGGTAGAAATTTGTTTCAGGTTGAAATGTGAGCTTCAGAACAAATAGAGGCTATTATACTTAGTCTCCCAGCTCTAGTAAATAGGAACAAGAAAAGGAATATAACATGAAATTGGACCATGCAAGTAGGAAAAAAAAAAGAAAAAGAACTGTGAAAAGGAAAGACTTTTGAACTAATAACACATAATGTAAAGTGAAACCTCATATCTGAAAAAATGATTTTGAAGTATTCCAATAAAGAAGAATGTTTAATTGTTGTTAGAATTACAAAGTTACGACCTAATGGATTTGTGATTTGTTTAGTATTTACATTAAGCCTAACCATATGAAAGCAAGGGGATTTTTTTAAAACTGTGCACCCTTTTGTTTATTTTGTATTCTCATGTTTATTCCCACTATAAGCCCCTTAAGAACTGTGTCATTTCGCTGTCTCAGAATCTCTAAGACAGACAACAGAGTTTAGTAACAATCAGCCCTCATGGATATTTATGAGTGACGAAATCCATATGCTACTAAATTTAGATTAAAATATAAATTTAACATTCTATTTTAATTTTGAGCATAAAATACAGGGTACCTACTCTGTGGAATGATCGTAAGAGATCCTTTAAAAATGTTCTACACAGCTTACCTTTGTGATCAATACATTGAAACTGAAAGGTCAAGTGACATGCCTAAAAACAACGTACAACAGAAAATGTTTTTCAAGTAAAAACTAGGCAGATTACAGGCATTTAATTTTCCTCTAATCATTTAATATTTAAAATGTATTTCTAAACTAAATTTAGCGTATCATTTGTAAGTGGGAAGGGGACCAAAAAATGGAGGAAAGAGGATGTAAAAAGAATTAAGATATGTCACGTACACATACCAACACCCCAAGATGTAAGTAATCATTATGTACTGCAAATCTGTACTAATAAAAACAAAATAAATTTAGTGAAATAGATTTCTTGACCTAGGATTAAAAATCAAATTATCAGCCTCTGTCTTTGCATCTTAATTTGATAAATCAAGCAATGAAGACCATTATCAAATGCTACCTAAGTAGAGAAAGTAACTCCATACTGAAATTTTGCTGACACTGAATTGTTTCATTGCTTCTATAAATACTCAGTGGTAACCAGGATACTATTTTGCACTTTCTCTGGCATGAGCTTTTGACTGTGTCCCAGTGAATAACAAGATTGTCAGTTCCAAGCATGTAAATGAACCGCCCTACATCAGGCCTTTCATTGGTCAGTTTTCTGCGGTTAGAACAAAATACAATAAAATCTTGGTTTGCGAACATAATTCATTTCAGAAACATGCTTGTAATACAGAGCACTTTGATATCAAAGTGAATTTCTCCATAAGAAATAACAGAAACTCAGATGGTTCGTTCCACAACCTAAAAATATTCATGTAAAAAGGATTACAGTACTGTAATGTAATACAAAATAAGAAAGAAAATATAAAGAAAGAACCCAAATTAACCTGTCCTTACCTGTGAGAACCTTGGTGGCCGGTAGGAGGGAGGCAAGAGAGAGGAGGGTTATTGCATAGGATGATTTTCAGTCACTAACAGAATCATTGCTGTCTATTGGGTCAAATGAATCTGTTTTCCTTTCATGCAGCTTCAGCAAGGAACCTTTCCAAAGACATTTGCTTTTGTCTCCTTTTGAGGATTTCACTGAAATGTGATATTGCATTGCTTTAAAGATATTCACCCATGCATTGCCTCAGGCTTATTGGATGGTACTTTTCCACAAAGTTGTGCACTGTTTCCACATTTTCCACATCTCCGTAATCTCATCTGCATGGAGAGTTTCTTCTGCCTTTCTCTCCTGCTCCTCTTCAGGTGAGAACTCTTCCCTAATCTCTTGCTGTTCCATAATCTCCTCCCCAGTGATGCAGTGCGAGAGACAGAAGAACCATTCGCTCAGTTGCAATCCTGAGACATTCAGTATCATGTTAATTAACAAGTTATTAACATTATCAAGTTAAAATGCATTAGGAACGTTTGCTTGTCTTGTGGAACACTGGCAGAGCACGTGACGCACAATCCAAGGTTTCACATACCTGACTTATACCACATGAAGTAGGAAGGTTTATTATTGCTCATGCTTTCAGAAGGCTCAGCCTGCATTCTGCTGGTCTCAGGAAAAAACCTCACGGTGGGTGGGGGGTGGGGGGACAAGATGTTTACTTTGTGACATCCAGAAGGCAGAGTACAAGGGAAGTGTGGGATAAACGCCCTCCCAAGGCAAGGCCCCCACGTCCACGGAAATGGGCCCCTACTCTTGAAGCACACGAAGCTATGAATACCTGTGTATTAATCTACTGATGAAGAAAGCACCCTGTCTATGATCCAGCCACCTTCCGAGGGGTCTCTCAGTCCAGTCAAGTTGACAATTAACTGGCGCAACCCTGTAGCAATATGTTTTTAGTATCATTATTTAGATTATTTACTTCTGTTCTGTTTCTTTTCCATGAGTGCTATGTAGGTTTTAACTACATGGAGCAAACTTTGAACTATTCATTACACTTTTCCCCTAACCTGGGATACTGTAACTCACACACAATAATGCTTAGTGAAGGACTGATGTTTGCAGAGCTAAGCCTTGCACAGATGCTCCTTCGCTCTGGCCTTGGACCTACATAAAACCGGTTAGTCAATAATTGTCTGTAAGAAACTTACTGACTCACCCTGGGATACACTAGTAAGGTCATAAGATTTTCCAGAATCTAGCAAAGCAAATAGTCACAGGGTTTAGTTTCAAGCACTCATGACTCATACTGCTTCTCTGTTTGGAATTTTCAGCCACTGTTTCCCTCTTATGTAGTTACTAGATTTTCTTTAAATTGAGAGAAATTATTGCACGTCAAGAGAAGATGAAGTCAAAATAATTAGGTGGCCTTATGTAATGATAAATGCATGCAATAATAGCAACATGATCATGGTATCATAGAATAGCAATGCTCTTATTTTCAACCATTGGTATCTTCACTTTTAGTCTGTTCTGAATTACTATGTGTAATGACACTCTGATATTTTGTTTTTTCCTAGTCCAGAAAGCCCCAGAAGTTAAACATTAGCAAATTTGGATATTCTTCTTTGCAGGAACATTTTTCTCCAGCTATTCTAATTCTCTCAAAAACATTTTTTTGAAAGATTTTTTTTACATAGGCATCTGCCCAAGATAAAACTATAGACCTTTAAAAAGAACATTTTCTTTAAACAAATACCAATATTTTATCTAGGCTTCAAAACTACTGCGTCCCATGGATGGCTGAAAAATCAGTCTCAAGTAACACCACATGGCTGTGGCTTGAGAGTACAGCCAGAACTGCTGTAGACACTGCCTCCAGAGACCCCAATTCCAGATCCCCTCCAGACACTTCATTTTGTAGATTTCTGATATTTAATTGGTGTTCTGACCAAGTATGGCACCCTAATTGTCTATGATGTGCATAACAAGTCATGGCTAAGATATGAACTATTATATATCTAAGGAATATTTTCTTTTATATGTCAACACATTTAGTAGAAAGTTAAAATGGATTATTTGTCATTATTTTAAATGAGTTCCCAAATAATAGAAATAAAACATTTGTACCAAATACCCTATATCCTTAAATGAGGTTCTGATTTACCTATGAGAGGTCTATCAAGAAGATGAGCAAAAGTTTGCTTTTGTGTCTTTGGCACATTATCCAGGAGAATATCAAGGCATGGAGGAGTCTTCCCTTCATCTGGAGAAGGGCAGAGAGGGTATATTGTTTTCCTAAAGACTTTGTGGAGGAGGCTTGCTTGGAAAGCTTGATATATGCCACTTGCAATTCCTTACACAAAGTGGACTATGGGACCCTAGGCTGAATTATAATAGTGGGAAAGTCTACTATTCTTTGCATTTGTTAAATATAGAGAAATGACCCTTTGTTACTGCTACTACTAAGGCCAGGCAGGAATGAGTATTCTCGAGGCACCAGGGGTGGTCTGTGGCAGACAGAGAAGGCCTGACACCATCCATCTTCATGGACCTTTGATTCAAGGGACTTTCAAAGTGACAAAGGAAGCCTGACAGAGAGTCTATCCGTGGTCCACTATCAGATGCCTCAACCCTGAGCACTGATATAACCAGTTGGCAGTGTCACAGAAATTGCAATTAGAGTTTTCCAGCAATATATTATAAACTCTTTGGAAACTTGCCCGATCCAAACAGACAAAATAGTTTGAGTGGATACAAATCAACCTATATAATAATGTCACACTCATTTGCATTAGTTCCTATTTCTTATTAGGGTGGTGAAGTTACTCATAACCTAAAACCTACCTTTATCTGCAACCTTATCACTGACCAGTACTGCTAACATTTATTGGATAATAAAGGATAGTTGTTCTCTGCACCTAAGGAAAATAGCATCCAAACAAAAGAAAATAATCTAGTGAAAATCCAAGCTGTGTTTGTTGGGTGATGAAGACAGAGAACCAAAGTTTGAAGAGGTGAGAGTTTGCTGTCCTGCTCTTCTGAATGAGCGCCCTCTTCAGGTTTGTAAAGGCTTTAATCTTCATGATCATACCCAACTCAGACGCTGCAGTCACATGGAGGTCCTACTTACAAATGCTGGTCTTCCCTTGATGCCACTACTTCTTTTTTAAAAGCCTTCTTTTTTGTACTGTTTTAGGAGGCTCTGCATAAGTACAAGTCAACTTCCCTGATTTTCTCTGCCAGTTTAAGATACAAGTAAGAAATTGTATCTTTCTTGTTGCTGATAAGAAAGCGAGCAGATGTCTTTTAAAGACTTATCAAACTCAGAAAAAACATAAACAGTTAATTAAAAATCTCTTACATTCCCACAGGCCAGCAATGACTACCACTACTATTAGGTTGACCTGTATGGAATCCTCAAGATTCAACGGATTTTGACCTACAGAAAAGTAGTTCCATATGATTTAATTTAATTCCCATGTACAGTGATATTATGGTTAATGCATTTAATTTGTCCCATGATTCTGGAGAAGATGACCACAACCTAATCCATGTGGGAAGATGGCAGTGGTGCTGTTCGGCACCCCTGTGGAGTTCTTCAACAGAAGCAAAATTTACTGAACTCTTCTCTTAGTGAACCAAACCGTTCATGAAAAGAAGAATTTGTGAATGGAGGTGCTGCATTATCGTATTTGAGCACATGCATATTTTACAGCTGAATTCATATGATGTATACTCTATATACAGGATGATAATATATACTAAGTGATGTACCTTAGATATAATACATAAATAGCACTGTAGCTTATACAGTTTTTATATTTGAAGTTTTATGTACACATACACACACAGGCACACATATTTTTAATAATTCAGTTATTTAAAAATTAATTTCAAAGTACCCTCAACAATCTCATAGATTCATGAAGTGCTTGACATGGAAATGAGCATGGGATTCCATTTAAATATTTTTAATTTAAGATTTGCTTGTAATCCTCTTATGTTTCTTCTTCACATATATACAAAACAGCAGTGTTCTTTGGATGTTGTGCTTGAGAAAACTCCCATTTAATTGCCAGTATCAGACATGGTGCTTTTAGACCTCCCATCCATACAGCTCAAAGACAGTGATATTTTATGTATTTGTAATTTTCAGCTGACAAAATAAGCAAAGAGTTGGAGGATTTTTGTCCAAAGATCTCATTTCCATTTTGAGTTTTCGGTGCTTAATATTTTTCACACATCTACACATACACAACTGCATGTATAAATGTGTTCAAAATAAATTCCAATCAGTAGTTTCATGTGCTACGGTATCAAAAGAGAAGTAGAATTTGTTAAATTTATTATATAATATTAGTAGCATTTATGTAGAAGGCTTAAAGATCTATTTTTCGGGGGTGGTACTGAGAATTGGAGCATGAACCTTCACAATAAGGTCCATCCCTTTTAAAGGCTTTTTTATTTTGAGACAGGTCTTGCTAAGTCAGTTGAACACATGAGCTTTCTGTCTCAGCCTCCTCACATGCTCAAATTATAAACATATACCACAACACCTGGCTCTAAAAGATTTAACTTTTAATAGCCACACAGCTAATAAATTGTGTATAATTGAGTAGATATCTTATTCTTGTTGGCTTCTGGTCTTTATTCTGAGCATAAAATCAGACTGGCACTAGAATGATTACTACAGATACTTTTAGTTTTAAAATAATGTGGACTTTAAGTTAAACCCAGTGGATTAATTTCTTTATACCCTAGGGACTGTTGTAAAGACTAAGTGCAACAATATGATTCCATTCCTAAGATAATACAACTAAATAATAAATGTTACAAGAATAGAAATTATTATTGTAATTCCAAGTAATTCACTTCTCAGTAAGTTGATCCTTCCGCAATTTAAAGCTAATTAGTAGTTTTATTTCACTTGTCTGAATCCTATTTACAGGAATTTTGTTCACTATATCCAACACTAGCTTACTTTCCTGTTTATGCTGCTCTTGAACTCTTCCAGGATAATGCAATTTGGAAGTAAAGGAAATGGCTTACCGAGTGTTGATGACCCTAAGACTCTGGCTGTGCATACCAAAGGATGAACCACTTTCATTATTCC